GTGTATGCACAGACATCGTTGTGGTGCACAGAGCCCGCAGGGGAAACGGACCTTCACTCCAGTGTGTATGCACAGACATCGTTGTGGTGCACAGAGCCCGCAGGGGAAACGGACCTTCACTCCAGTGTGTATGCACAGACATCGTTGTGGTGCACAGAGCCCGCAGGGGAAACAACTGGTGCGGAGTAAAAAGAAACAACACATCGACACAATAACATCCCTTTAGTGCAATGTAACGTCACAGAGGGTTTACAGTAATGCTGTAATTTACTGTAATGCTCCCTGGTAAAGTGCGCAGTTCAGGCAGAAATAACACAGGGAGTGGAAATAAGGAGCAGAACAAGAGGAATAAAAGGAAAAAGCTACCAACCAGTAGCGCTCTCCAGCCATTTGAACGAACTGAAATACATGTATTTAAAAATGAAATATTCCAGTACTGCAGAATGCTTTGTGAACTATTTAATCACCATGATCAAAGAGAAGAAAGTTTAATGAGAGGTCTTGAAAAACGAGCATCTTTCAGCTCTTTATTAAATTGTACCTGACCCTTAATTACTGGTGCACTTTGCAATGTCTTTTTTAAAAAATGAAATGAAAAAGAGAGAGACAAACTGACGCCCCGTTATGCCGAAGTGCTGCCCGAAATTATTGTGCATCCGTTAGCATCACTTCAACGAATGGATGCACCCACTTCGACAAGCGGGTCAGGAAGCGGAGTTAACAGTCTGAATTCGGACCATAGAGTATAGTGTACATCTATGATTCGGACAATGTTCCATTGATAATTATCCGGTTTTCCAGATAGATTATCCGGATTTTGCCGACCTCTAGTGCATACATTACATTACGTGAGCAATTCCCATAGATTTGTACACCTAGATCGCACACTGTCATTGCTGCCTCTCTTCGTTCTCGAAATACTTAACTGCGAAGTGTGCACACCTTTGGTTGCGCTTTAGACTACGTTTAAAAAAATGTAGAAGTGTTTTACTTCTAGCCAAGAATTTATAAATATACTTGTTATACTATAATAACCTCTTTGGCTTCTAGAGAACGAATCCATCTTCTACTACTCACTACTCTAGAATTACAAAGTTCTATGTGCCCAGTACTTAGTTTTGAGAAATTTGGAGTTTATAATTTGGAGTTTGACAATATGGTCAAGCTTTTTCAGTTTCTGTTGTTATCCTGCACCATTTTAGCACCTGCAGTCTGGCTACACTCAAGTGCGCCCGGCACCCCCTCCCCTCCTTTTACCCTTTATTTTATCTAATGGCGCGTCCGATGAGAAACCGTATTACGTCAAAGGGCACAATCAACGATATTGTATTACAAGTCTATGGCATTTCCCGAGTCATCAATGCCACCAGGGATTCGAATAATTACTATCTAAGACTACACTCTAACGTCGCTCCGGTTCACCATGGAGCCTACCATTGGACTCTACTTGGAACAAAATGAGGGGCAAGGAGGGAAAGATTGCGTGCGCTCTCGATTATATCAAGACTAGTGCTTTACCCTTTGCTTGTGTGCTCCTGTGGTCCACAAGCACTACGTAGCCTTTCTAGAAAGGAAAGAACAAAGGCCATAACACTGACAGTGCCCGGTCAAGGATGTTATAGGAACCAATCTATGG